TTTCTTCCTTTTCTTCCTTTTCTTTCCTTTCTTTTTCCCTACAGTCTAAAATCTTGGAGACCCCTAAGACATAGAAAAAATACTAATATTGGTAGTATCAACTTAGGGATAAAACATTTTAAAGACACGGTGATCTCCCAGTCCTTGCTGGCCCATTGCCAATATACCAAAGAAGTAAAACTCAGAAAAACAGAAAAAAATTACTTTGCCTTCACAATTACCTTCAAGAACTGCATCTATGGAAAGTAAATTTCAGGACTGTAACATCAAATGTTTGGGGACTTCTGTTATATACATATTTCATCCAAAATATATTAATTATATTTATCAGCACAGATGTGATCTCTTCAGGACACTATTTGTGGGCACCCCACCCTGGATGTTCTCAGCGTTGGTTTGTATGGAACCCTGGGCAGCCTGATCTAGTGAGTGGCAGCCCTGCCCATGGCATGGGTGTGGAACTGGATGGGCCTTAAGGTCCCTTCCAACCTAATCTGTTCCATGCCTCCATGATCATTACATATCTTATAGGAGGGTTAAATGCTTATTTGTTTAATAGACTGGAATATCTTTAGTACTGGAGTATAAATATAAATATATTTATATACTTATATATATATTTATATATACTGGAGTATATATATAAATATAGTTTCCTAAATTTATACTAAAGGGTGGAAAACAAAACATACAAAGACCATCACTTTCTTAAGAATTGCAAGAATTTCTTGTTATCACAGAATCACAGAACAGTTTGGGTTGGAAGAGATCTTAAAGACCATCTGGCTCCAACCTCTGCCTGTGGGCAGGGTCACCTTTAACTACACAGTGTATTCAGTACATTCTAACTGGGTTACAGATACAAGTAGCTACATATCAGTAAACAGCGTGTGGCTGCTGAAGTTTGTATGAACTAATACTTGCTGAAAGCAAAACTTAAAGTCAGCATAGCTTTGTTACGAGAAACAACATACGAGTGGGGGCTGAGTGTCACTATTGCTTTCTCTTCAAACAATAATACTGACAACACCTGAAAGGGTGTCACTCTAAGATGGGTGATACAAGTCCTTCTGTCATATCAAACGTCAGTTGATCAAAGCCAGGTGAAGACCTGACTCTTCTAGACTTCCATCAACTTCCAAAAAACAAAGAGAGGTTAGTTTGTTCAGAATCTGATTGTTTCAAGTGTATGCACTTAGCAAAACTTTTCATTCATATGGAATATATTTCTTTGACAGTTCAATTCTCACCATCCCTCAGAGGTCATTTTGTAGTGTTCATTTATTTACAGAATCCAGAGGAGCTACTTACATTTTGAGCTCATTATGGTGCTGGAGCAACCCTCTCCCTGCCTCCCACCCCTTCTTTTTTTTTTTTTTTTTGTGAAACTAGTTTTTGCTCATGGTGGAAGTCGATGGCTATCAGTGTAAGATCCTGTGTGCCAGAGAAGTAAAATGTGCTCTGTTAAGTGAAGACCGGCACTTGGATATCTCCGTTTTTGCATTTTATCTGCAAAGTGTTTCAGTAGTTCACATGAAGGGCTGATTTAGGCAACTGCACGTTCATTACTTGTGCTGATGACACTCTTGCATACTCTTGCTCTCAGAAGGACACACAAGAATTTTTTACAGTTCAGCATTCCAGGTCTGTGCTAGCAGAAAAGTATTATGACCAGCAATCAATCTGCAAAGGCATATACTTGAAGCCATAACCATTTTAGCTTGCTAACTCTGTTTATGTTTAAAATGATTATATTGTATTAAGCTATCTGAATCTATCCCTAAGCTCTCTTAACATCTGTTGCAGACCATGCTGTTGGCAGTCACTACTGTATTTCAGGAAAATAAGACATCATAGGTGCATAAAAAAAAAAAAAAAAGACTAAAAATATGCCATCAGTTTTTCATCACAACTCAACAATTCTTGAAAAAGCACTTTTGCATTCAAGATCCCTCTCATTCATTGACTGGACCCACTTTTCAGTTCAGTTTTCATATATTTTACATGATAGGCAAAAACTGATAGGCAAAAACAACTTTAAATTACCTGTAAGGTTCACAGTATGTTATCACTGAATCTCATGCATTGTGCTGTCATAATTTCTATTCTCTGCTTAGAGTTCAGTGCACTGAACTATGCTTGGATGACATGTTACAAATCATTAACAAAAACTTGTTTTTACAGGTAATTCCAGTGAGAGACCTTTACCATCATCTGCAATGACACACTGTGGGTTTAGCAAATAAATCATTTTCCTCCACATTTCCTGAAGTATAAAGTCAGTAACAGGAGATAGAAGTATTATCAATTATACTTTGAAAGCTATGACTATAATTACACCTTCTTTAAGACCTGATCTGTTCAGGTGAAGAGAACTATCTAAATACAGCAAAATCAAGAAGTTTGTTTATCTTTCTTCATATTCATTGGTCAGTACTGTTAATTGTTTTAGTTGAGCACAGAATCAGTGCTGGAAAGCCTAAAGCTGCTTGTGGTGTCCCAGGTGCAAGTGCATCATCCCTGTGGGAAGAGGGACTGGTGGTCACTGTGTGGAATAAGAGATCCATACAGGAGATTTGTACAGATACTCAGCTTTGAGCATGGTGTAATTATGTTTTCTTCCTCATTCACTGTCTACAACAACAGGACCCTAAGTAGAATCAAACAGAAGGAACTTACAGTTTTGTTTTGTAGATCACAGGATGGTGCACTGTTACTAAAAACACCAAAGCTCACAGAAGTACAGGTGTCTTATAGCTGTGATCTTCTTAATCACCTTCTTTCAACCTTCTCTTAGGTGCCATCAAGGAGTTCAGTCCTTCCTTCTGTCAACAGAAAGTCATGGAGAGTCTGCCTCCTGTGAAAGAAGGAATGGAAAACTCAGGGAGAACACAGAGAAGTTGGTAGGATATGCAGGAAAAAAAAATAGAAAGGCGAAAGCCCAGCTTGATTAAAGAGAACAAAAAATATTTTTACTAATGTATTGATGTAGTCTACCTAGATTTTAGCAAAGCTTTTGACAATCTCCCACAGTATTCTACTAGAGAAACTTGGCTTGGACAGTTTGTGACAAGTCTGTGGTTTGGACATATATATTCTTCGTTGAGGAAAGAACTGGCTGGATAGCCAGGCCCAGAAAGCAGTGGTGAGTAAGTTAAATCCAGCTAGTAACTGATCACTAGTGGTGTTCCTCAGAGATCAGTACTGAGGCCAGCTCTGTTCAATGTCTTTATTGATGACCTGGATGAGGGCACTGAGTGCATCTTCAGGAAGTTTGCAAATTACAGAAAGTTGGGAGGAAATGTTGATATGCCTGGGGGTAGGAAGGCCCTACAGAGGGATCTGGACAGGCTGGATAGCTGGGCTAAGGCCAATAGGATAAAGAGCAATGAGAACAAGTGCTGTGTCCTGCACTTCAGCCACAACAACCCCAGGCAATGCTATAGGCTTGGTGCAGCGTGTCTGGAAGACTGCGTGGAGGAAAAGGACCTGGGAGTGCTGGTTAACGCTCAGCTAAACACAAGCCAACAGTTAGCCCAGGTGGCCAAGAAGGCCAATGGCATCCTGACTTGTGTTAGAAATAGTGAAGACAGAAGGAGTGTGGAGATGATCATCCCTCTGTAGCGCTGGTGAGGCTGCATCTTGAGTGCTGTGTTCAGTTTTGGGCCACTCACTACAAGAAAGACATTCCTGGTCATGTCCAGAGAAGAGCAGCAACAAAGCTGTGAGGGGTGTGGAGCACAAGCCTTAGGAGGAGTGGCTGAAGGACTAGTCTGGAGAAAAGGAGGCACAGGGAAGACCTTATTGTTCACAACTGCCTGAAGGGAGGTTGCGATGAGGTGGGAGTTGGCCTCTTCTCCCATGAAGCTAGCAATAGCGAAGTGTCAGGGGAGATTCAGATTGGCCATTAGGAAACATTTGAAAGAGTGGTCAGGAGCTGCAATGGGCTGCGCAGTGGTGGAGTCAACATCCCTGAAGGTGCTCAAGAAACATTTAGATGTTGTATTAAGAGCCACAGCTTAGTGGGGAAATACTGGTGGTAGGTGGATGATTGGACTGGATGATCTTAGAGGTCTTTTCCAACCTTAATGATTCTGTAACTCTGTGATATGATAACCACTGAGATGACATCTGGGACTTGTAGGCTGGTAGAACTATTTCAAATGCAGAAAGGAAACAGAGCCAATAAGCAACTCAGAAATACACAGATATTCAGCAACTAGTGTCAGTTTACACTTGTAATCTCTGCAATAGATATAAGTGAGAACATGTCTGATGGAAAATACTTTCCCTGTTAATTGCAGTGTGATACAAAGTGGTTAAAAAGGAGAAGGATACTGTTGTGGTAATAGAATTTCCAAGCAGAAAAGCAAAACATCTACCTAAAAATCAGCTTTTTTTCAGTCTAATTTTGTTTTTAAACAGACAATTGCCTTTATCAGCTGTTCCCTTGTTCACTGAAGCAAACTCCAGGTCTATATCAGAGGATGTCAGCTTTTGTAGCTTCCTTTGAATTCTGACACGTATGCATTTTGTTATCTAACAGTGCTCTGGTGCAAGACACTTAATGCACTGCTATAACTCTTTCTGGAGTTACTTTAACTAACGAACTTGTTATTCCAACTATTTTCCTGAATCTACTTCACTGTAATATATATTCTTTGTTTTCACTTACATTGACCTTTACTTACAGAATTTAACCAAGTCTCATAAACAAATCAAATTTGGTTTATATAAGCATTAAGTCAACCTCAATGACCTATTTTTGTTTTAAATTATTCCTCTATAAAGGATGAGTAATTCCACTGAGCTGACATTGTTACATTGCTATAAAATGAGAATCACAAGAGAAAAATCAGCAGAGACTTACAATCTGCAAGTGGACTTTGAGTTTCCTGCTTGTGACATCCTTCTGTCCCAGCAGCAAAACAGACACTGACATCTTGAGATCTTGTGATAGAATTCACGCTGGATCCATGTTCTGCTTCCATGCTGCACTATCTGCACATGTTGCAAGTCACTGCTGCAGACTTTACCAGAGTATGATTACCAACAGCCTCACAATTCCAAGTCCATTTAGAATTTTTTTCAGAAGTGTGTGTATTACCAGTCTAGATTGCAGAAATAATGTACATCAGGTAATTACGATGGTAGCTGTCCACTGGCATTTCTATGCTGTGATGCTTTGAAAAGTTTGATATAAACAAAGAAAAAAGAAGGATAGTTATGCTCAATGAGAAGGGAAGAGAGCTCTCATTCCCATCAGTACCATTATTCCCCCCTGCTAAGAAAGAGAGTGAGTAGACACTGGGTGATAATTATAATCACTGTTGAAAATGAAGGCTTCATCAAATTAGAATTAATAACAGCTTCCTGCAGGGAGACTGGGTCTTACTCAACAACTAAGATAACACTTGCAGTGGGAAGTGAAATTAAAAATTTGGAGCTTTCTTTAGAAGCTATGGACAAAGGGCTCCAGGAGCCTGCTGATTCAAGAGGGATGGTAAAAGAAACAGAATGGTTGGGTTTTTCTGCTGTAAATTTAGCAACTATTAACATCTTCATCCTATTTATAAAAAAATATGGAAATGATAAATTTTCCTTGCAGTAAGGGCAAAATGTCAGACAGAAGGTTAAACATATTTAGGGAATCATACATTTCAAAAACAGCCGAATTAGATCCATCTACACTCAGAGCCGGCACTGTAACATTCCTTACCACTTGATGGAGGAACTGTCTTCCTCAATGAATCTCAAGTCAGAACAATGATTTTTGGTAGGGTGGGTGTTATAAAGCAAGATGCTTAGAGGATGCAAGTATAAATGTAGTTAATGCCTCTGTCTTAATAATTGTTTTAATAAATGTCATGCAGTGTAGTAGTAGTATAATAAATGGTAGTTACTAGCACAGTGGCAGTTGCTAACAGAACTCTGACAGTTGCTCCAGAACTGCTGTTTCTCATCTCTCTGAAAAGCATGTATGAGTATCTCTGTATTCTACCTGGGAGCAAATATACTTTTCATCAGTGACCACTGCACACTTCCATCCCACATTCAATCCCTATCAGACATCTGTCTCTGCTTTCTGCTTTGCGTCCTCGGAGACTGCTGAGTAAAACCTCAGGTCTTGGGCCCCCTTTCTGTTAACCTCAGCACAGCATTTGTGGATGACAGCTCTGTTCCTCACGTTCAAGACGCAGCCAGGAGCGCAGCGCTCGTCTGGGCAGGAGACGGGGTTAGGGCACAGAGCTAAGCAAGTCTCACCACCATGAACTCTGCACGAGCACACTATATTTGTAGACACTTACTTCTACATAAACATACATAAATGCGTACACCGAAGGAAATAATGCCAATTGCCAAAACAAAGCACGTGAGCAAACCCTTCTCTGAGGAAGGAGGAAGAAAACAGCATGACGTGAATGTTCTCAGCTACCTCCGTGAAGATGGAAGGAAAGACTAACAGCATAACAGGGCTACGTGCTGCTGGCAATAGGTAAAGCCTCACGCATTCCACGCACCCACAGTATTCTGAGGGCTTTAACCCACAACACACGTTGGTGAAGGGGCCCGTTCCCTCCGGTGCCAGGGCAGCTGGTGTAGCCAGGAGCAGCTACGCACCAGGAGCTCCGCGGTGCACACGCGCTGCATTGCCGCGAGCCATTCCCTACGCAGGACAAAGCACGAGACAAGTCACTGCCAGCTCAGCAGTTTTACAAACGGAGAAGTGCCTCTTCCAGCCGCGGCCACCCGCGTTCCCATAGCACGGCCCCCGGCCCCTCCGCCCGCCCGTACCACTGCTCGGCTCAAACGGGGTGGCCCAGAAGGGTACGGCCCCACGTTCAGAGCCGCTGCACGGAAAACACCTCTCTAGTCTGCGTGACAAATGGTTTCTACTTGCACTGAGTTAACCGAGAGCAATTTTGGAAACTTCTGCCGGAGGAGTTTGCTTTGCTTGCAAGGTCGCGCAGAACGAGCTCCCTGAACTTTGCCCCGCGCTGCCCCGCGACGTAAACAAGCGCCCTATAAAGATCGGCGCCGCGCTGCGGCCGCGTCTTTCTGGCAACGGAGAGGGGGGAGCTGAGCGGCCCGGCCCGGGCGCTGCGGGGTGAGGGGAGCGGCCGCTGGAGGGCAGCGGGGAGGTTGGGAGGCGCGGGGGGAACGGAGCTCCCGCCGGTGCGCGGCTGCTGCGGGCCGTGGCACGGGGTCCTGCCGGCGTCGTGCGGTGGTTACGGACCCCGGAGCGGCCGGCCGCTTCCCAGTTGTGTGCGGGGCGGTTTCGGAGTACCGTGCCCCGGGTGACTGCGGTAGAACTGCAGGAAAGCAGCACGGGGACAGCTGGAGTTGTCAGCTCTGCCGGCTTTGCGGCGTTTGTCTCTTGCCTGGGAAGATTAGTGTTCTTCATTTATGCATTTATCTTAATAGATTGTGATTTTCGTCAGTGTCGTCGTGTGTCAGAACTTGCTGTTTCCTTAACCTTCTGTATTTAATGTCAGACGTGAGCGCTGGAACTGCATAGTTCCACAGCCTAGGGTGTGTTGGGAACAATGTTAACATTTTATTTCTCAATAATGAGTTGTCTGGATGTATTAAGCCAAAGTTTTTATGCTGTTGGAGTGAAAGGATAATTACAGAATTTCTTGAATGCTTTGATTCCCATGAGCATTAAAGGAACCTGACGTGGGTGATAGGAGCCTGATATGGCAAATCCTGGAACTTGAATTTTCATTTCCTGTTTTTTGCAGACTTGTTTCTACTGCTTGCCTTAGGATTTTTCTCAATGACATCTGAATGCTACAAACTGACTTGTAAAAAACTTTGTCTTTTCTTTCGCTTCTTTTTTGTTAATATTATTTTCTGTAGTGCTTGCTGCTTTGAACACACTGCACACTGCTGCAGTTTCTGTGAAGTCAGTGGTTGGATTTGCACCTAGGTTCTTACTCAGATGTAAGCTAATTCAGCACCAGTGTTTTCACTGCAGAAGAAATGCATGTGGTTAGCAGCATTTTAAAAAATCCAGCTTTTTTGAACTATTAAAAAAAAATTATAGAGGAACTCTGCTACTAAACGAGATAAATATGGTCAGACAGCAAACATAATGGATCAAATATATTCTTGATGTTTTCTTTTTAACTGAACAGAGCCAGTATCCTGCTGTGTTTTGCGTGGGAATTTCAGCATCGGGACTTTGTTCAGGCATTGATCTCATTCTGTTTATTTTTTTTCTTTTCAGATAAGTCCAGCCATGTGGGCAGGACTGGGTCTGGCTCTGGTTCTCTGCCTCCTCCCAGGAGGGTGGGCAGAGAGCCAGCGGTGCCAGGAGCCCCCAGAATGGCACATTGGGGAGGAGAGCCCAATGCTGAACTCCAGGGGGTCAGTGGCAGTGGTGGCTCTCCTCCAAGCTAGCTGATACTTGTGCCTGCTGCAGGCTTCCAGGTGAGCACCAGTGTCCTTTCCATCTTTTGCTAAAGCACGAATACCACTTCATGAAGCCAACTGAGGATAATATGCACGCTCAACTATGGGTGTACTGAACAAGGAATAGCTTCCTCAGATTACCACTGCCCTGAGTGACCTTGTCCTGCTGACCTGGCCATTTCCCAGCAGTTAGGTAGTATGATAGTAACAGCAGTAGGAAAATAATTTTGAGCTGGCCTAAACATGAATTGCCTGCAGTGCTTATCTTTGGTTCAGTGGTTGTGAAATCACTTTGGCATGAAATTTCATATTGCTGGTTTCACAACTTGAGTAGGATTGCTGTAATAACGTGTTTGTTTCACTCCCCAGGCTGCAAAACTTCATGTTACAGTAGTCTTAGAAAGTTTTTCAGGAGCTGGGTTTTATATTTTATATCTTATATTATATTTACATATTTTATATTTTATATATATATATATATTTATAAATAGCAGTGGCAAAGTTCTGGCTTTGTGGCTGACTTTCAAAGTGATTGGATTTGATCCCATGCATTTTTAAAGAGCTGTATACTTTGAAGTTCTAGACTACGTCCTGAAAGTGAAAAAATGAAAGTATTTTTATTTCTAGAGCAATCCTGTAGGAATTATGCTGAGGCCAACTAGGTCATGAGGATATTCTGTAGCTGTTCTTTTGACCCAGCTGCCATCCCTTATATATGATGTCCTTTTCTTGCTATTGCAGAAAGTAGACAAGTCGAAATGAAAGGGAGAGCTGTTGACCTTGTGCTGTAGGTTTACTTTCTTTGTTATTCAACTACCTGATGTATTCACTCTGCATTCTTTAACAAACTGTGTGACCCCAAACTCAGCATTTAAGTAAAAACGTTACATAAGTTCTCTTTGTTAGACCATGAAGAGTGTGAAAGAACTGACATGGAAATAACACTGAATTCAGTCTGATGAACAGACGGCTATTTTACTCAGTACTGCGTTCTAGGTACCAGGATAGGAACTGAGGCATGCAGACTTTTGTAGGGTCTGACTTGATGGCAAAGCAGTCATACATTCCTTTATGTTGGAAAAGAACTTCAGCATTTTCAGTTGCGACAGCTGATGTGATACTTACGGTACAGAGCAAGAATGTTTTAATACTACTAGACTGTTGCTTAGAGGGGAAAAAACTCACTGTAAGGAAGGCAACATGGAGCACATTAACTTTTGATGAATGTGGCAAATGATTTATTTTCATATTGCAAAGGAGAAAAGCCTCCTATGATTGCCTGCTGATTTTCACATTCCTTTCTAGATTGGAGGACCTGCGAGTGAAGTTAGAGAATGAAGGACTGGTCAATATCTCATACGTGGTTGTCAACCATCAAAGTCCTCATTCCCAAAAGAAATTTCACCTACTACAGGAAAGTGTTTCAGACCACATTGCTGTCTACCAACAAGATGATCACCAAGCTGATGTCTGGACTACTTTGAATGGAAACAAAGATGATTTTCTCATCTATGACAGGTTTGTGTTTAAAGGGAAAGACTGGAAGATATTTACATGTATTTAGAGTAATGATGTGTAGATCTCTGTATTAATTCATTAAAATAACTTCACAACAAAGTCATCAAGCTGCATGTGCACTTTTACTGGGAAATGGAAGCTACAAAAGAAAAGTCTGCTTTTGCTTAAGTAAGTTTTGGGATAAGTGCATACAATCTTTGTAAGTAATTATGATGGCTTTTGGACTGTTGAGTTTGATATCATGGCTACGGTCTTTGGTTTTGTTCTCTAACAACTTTGTTATGTCCATGTATTTGAAAGAAGAATCAAGCCTGAAAAGCTACCTGACTTTTCATTAGAACATTTTGACTGAAATTGCTGAAAGTGTCTTATAGCTGAATGAAAAACTTAGAACTAAAAAAAAAATTAGCTTTTTGATAACAGGATTCTAGGACAAGAACCTTTTGGAAGAGACAGTAATGACTGTTTAGTTGGAATACTGAGTTTTTGGTTTTGAAGTGATGAAAATTATTTGAGAACTTGCACTTATAAAATGCCTATCTTGGTTACTATTATGTAATAGACAAAATTATGTATTTTGTAAATTGTATTTTCATGTAAATTGTATTATTATGTAAAAGATAGTCTTTGTTCTATCTTTGTTCTTTGTACTTTGTACTTTGCTCTTTGTACTGATGCATAATGAAATGTAATGAAGAATTAGAAAGTTATTTAGCCTTTTTTTTTTTTTTTTTTTTTTTTTTTTTTGCAATATGATGAAATTAGGCAAATTAGCTATATTAGTCAGCAAATATACCAATTGGAAAGTTGTTGCTATATGACAGACAGACTGTATGTAGTCCATGGAGTAGCTGCAAAGCTGCCACCTGGCCCACAGCATTTGAAAGGTTGAAGAGTTCTGCACTGTTGACCCCTTGGATATGTGTACACCTACACTAATTGGTTTGGCAACAGTAATCTGTTATGACTCTAGGAATTTATGTCCTACTCATTGCTGGTCCTAGGTATTTATGGCAGATGTTTAAAGGTAGAGCTGAAGGACCTCCTGTTGACGTTGCAGATACCTGCTTATCAAAGTGGCGTACAGCTTCCGCATTTATGCCAGCTGCTTTTAGTGTTCCATTTGTACGGTTAAGTACCTACCAGAATACTGAAGTACAGACATGATGCAGCTTTGTATTCATAAAATCCCCCTCCCAGTGCACACTGCATTCAGACATTCCTTCTCTCAGACTGGAGATTGGGGAAAGGCTTTTCAACGGAGGGGTGGTTGGGTACAGAATAGGCTCCCCAGGGCAGTGATCATTACCCAGAGCTGCCAGAATTTAATAATCATTTGGGCAGTGTTCTCAGACATAGGGTTTGAAGTTTGAGTGTTCCTGTGTGGAGCCAGCAGTTGGCCTTAATGATCCTTGTTGATCCCTCCTGTCTTGGGATATTCTGTAGTTCTGTGATTCTTTGGATACAAAGTCCATGCAGTGGTTTGTACACCTATGCTAACTGCCCTCCTCATTAGGAGGACAGGTATTGCTATTGTATATCTTTGGCAATCTAAGTGCAGATAAACAAGAAATTTCTGCCAGCAAAGTGCTTACATCCATTAAGAAAGCAGACTTTGCATGTACTAAAGCAGCTGAGCAGACAGATGTTTGTGAGATGGAAATTGGTTGTTACTGTGAGCTCTTTGGAGAAAAAGAGCTTTTGGCATAAGTAAAATAAGGTATACTAAGATGAGATGTTAAATTTTATGTATATGTAACCTTGAAGTTCTTTCTCTCCTAGATGTGGTCGTCTGGTATATCACCTGGGTCTTCCTTATTCCTTCCTGTCTTTCCAATATGTAGAAGAAGCCATTAAGATTGCATACTGTGAGAACAAGTGTGGAAATTGCTCTTACACGGTATTTTCTTGTTTCATTCTTCATATAATGGGAAAAGAAAACCTGATACTTAAGAATATTTGTTGGCATGATTAATCAAAAAAGACAACTTTGAATGTTAGCATTTCATGGGTTGTGACAGAATATGTAAGCATTTTTTGAAAGTTTATGTAATTTAGAATAGACTGACTGTTTAAATTCCTGCAAAACATTTTCTGAAATCTAAATGTAATCTTGGATGCTAATTCTGTTTGTGGAATTACATACAGTCAGTGAGAATTTAGCTACTTCAGTTTTTCTTTAGTTTCTGGGGAGAGGTAGGCACTTTTTTTTTTTACTGTGGAGATGAATCTGAGCTGTTTGAGTTACAGTTCCTTTTAGTTTATGTTTAGGAGCACTATACAAAAGTTACTTCAAAAATTGGTGATACAAGGGCATGATTGTTCCACAAAAAAAAAAGAGGAGCTGTATTTTACGTGTACATCTACTTTCAGGATTACCATGCAATGCAGATAGGTACTGACGAATTTCATCATTTTAGCTCCCATCAAATAGCTTTCAGCGTACCACAGGCCTCAGGCAGGTTAGATGTGCAATCCTAAAACAGGAATACTTTTTATTAGCAATTACTTTGATTATAATTCCCAAAAATTTACATTGCGAGTCCTGTCTAGTTACCAGTGCTGTTGTAAGCACTGGATTCTTTTTTATACGTTCCAATCATTCTTCAGCAAAGTAGCACTTTCAGAAACAATCACTTTTTTCTTTTTTCCCCCTGGGATAGCTTTAAGGGGGACAGTGCGAAGCGTTCAAATGCTAAACACCTCACACGCTGTTCTCGAGGTGCAGAGCACCTGTGTACCTTGTTCACTCTTCAGCCTCCAGTGCTTATGCAAATAATTGCAGCTGGAATCACGTGGGCTGATGAACACGGCTTTTTGGGCACTGAAATTGAACATGAAAAGTATGCGATAGAAAATATTGCTTGCTCTGAATTTCACAGAATTACAGCCAGCCAGGTTAATAAATAAATAAATTAATTAAGAAGACATTTTAAATGGCCTTTTGCTGACTGTGAGGATTAACCAGGGTAATCTCTGGTATTTAAAATTTTTTTTTTTTTAATTTCCTTTTTTATTTTATTTTATTTTTTTTTAAATTAAACTTTGGCATTAAGAAACTAAGTATGCGTTGCTGACTGCTTTACCTACCTTTACTGAAGAATCTTCAGAAATCCACAGACAAGCTTATCTGTGTCTCAAGAGCACAACCAAGAAAAGTGTCAGTTACGATGGGGACCTGTGGCTTATGGAGAGCTGTGGTGCCTCAAAGACAAACTTTGGAAGCAGATGTTTCTTCCCATGTTTTCTTTTATACTTGTGTGACCTTTCAGAGGGTGCTGTAGATTCCCTTCCTGGAGCCAACATTTTTGGCTTTCCACTCCCTGCCAACCTCCAGGACAGAGAAATTACAGAAGGATTTTTGGATGGTCTGTGTCTTGACTTTTATGGGAACTAGAATGCTAAATGCTTTATTATCTTCAGGATGGAAATTCAGACTGTAGCTCATACTCTGCAGCACTCCAGTAGTTTATCAAAAATATTCATAAACAAGAATTTCAGATATCTCATTGCATAGGTTTTCTAGGTACTGCAAAAATATTTAGTTAATTAATATCTTACAAGTAGTTTAATACGATGTTTCTGTTTTGCAGGAACCTGATGTTGATTATATATGTGAGAACATCACCAAAAAAGAAGATGAGACTCTAGCAGGCATAGAACCTGAGCCTGAACCAAGTGGTCAGCATTCACATCATCGCCACCAAGTGCACAAGCACAGACACCACCACCACCACCACCATCGTGAGGGTGGTCGTCATTCAAAAAATCAGAACCATCAGGCTCCTTCTGAATCTCAGAGACATCACCCTCACAGTGGTGGGCGTCACAGAATTTTTAACCACAAAAGAAATGATCAAATAGGTAGCCATGATCAGGTAGAAACTCTTCCTCCAGGAGAAGGTGTGGAAGTTCTTCCACGTGTTACAAAACTATGAAAAAAGGGGAAAACCATCTGTAAAAACCAGTTAACTTGAAACTGGCAGACAGCATCAGACTCAACAACCAATAGCTGATGCTGCCATTGTCGACACCTTTTGTTTGAAGAGCTGGGAAATTCTGTCACTTGACAGTGTCGCGGAGCACTTCCAAATTCGTGCAGGTGACACGGCCAGCTGTTAGCAGAGGACATCACTGAATCCTGACAGTGACGTCTGCTCACTGCTGCCTGAGAGTCAGCAGCAGCAGGAGGAAGTGAAACTAGTGACACCTGACAGTGACAGGAGGAGGCGGGCAATTGAGCATGAAAAACAAACTAAACACTTAAAAAAGGCAGGGGAGTCATTTACTTAATTGCAAGACTGGAAAAGCTATCAGATTAGGTATTTCTATTGCTCCCAAATAAAAATTAGACTAAGATGAAAGGAGTGTAGAGCTAAAATTTTGCAAAGAGCAGTGCTCTTGGAATTCGGCAAGACCGGTCAAACTCCATCAATGAAAATTTCTTGCTGTAAAGGAATTGAATTAACCCATAGTTTGTTTTTCAATTGCATTGGAAAGGTGTCTGCTTGGTTGATTAATCTGTCTTTCTTGTTTTTCTTCTAACATTCTGCTTGCATTTGTGAGGACAGGAGCATAAACTATGACCTAGGGGCTCCTGTTTGATATTTTGCAATCAAGAACAGGAGATAAGCAGAAGAGACATTTTAATTTTTTTTTTTTTTTTTTTTTTTTTTAAGAGGGGATATATTCAAAAGTTTTTTTTTTTCTAAATTACGTATACAAATTATGTACAAGCACAGCTCATTGCTAAACAGTGGACCAAAATAACTTTTTATCTCAAGTGTAAGATACAACAGTAACTGCATTGTTTTTAAGTAACAGATCATATGCTTAACTTTTGAGGGTTAAATATAGTACAGGTTTCACTGATGCACACTACTACAGTTTGTCAAATCCCACTGAATCAATAGGTTCATGCCTGAAGTGAGAAGCAATATTAACAACTCTTTGTGCAGATTCAATGCCTCTATCAAGAAAGAGACAGGACAAACTCAGTCTTGGTTTAATACTTTTCTTTGCTTATGAGAGTATGGAATTTGTTATCTGTGTTGATTAGTAAGGTGATATACCACTGACATTTTTATAATTTCTTTGTATGTAGCTTAACGTTTTCTAATTCTGATTAACCATGCTGAAGTAAAAATGCTTTTGTTCAAAGGATTCCTGGATGAGCAGAGTATTCAAGAAAGGAAAGCAGCTTTGAAAGCATACACCATAATTAATGATGATTGAATAGGAAAATTATTACTCCTATGAAAACGGAATCTTTTTGTGGTGAATGCCGATTAGCAAGAAAATAGTACTGAATATAAACAAAATGCATGCCTTTGGGATATTTGACGAGACATTTCAATAAAAGTATTCAGCATTTCTTCGTGTTTTGTTTTTACTCTTAAGTGCTCAGTTTGAAATACGCTGTTTCTTGTATGTTCTACTGAAAAGCTTCATGCTATTTACTCAAAACCGCCTCCGTTTCAAGTGCAAATCTTGGCCTTTGTTAAGACGTTGCTCTAAGTCCCGTATGGTGTTTCGGAGGATCTCAATTTCTTTGTTTTTCTCCTCCTGCAGGTGCTGTAGTTTCTGTAAAAATGCAAGTAAAAATTCATAATTATCAGGTGGGATTATGCACCAATACAATATGCTATTGCTAACAAGCAATATTTTAATAAGAATGTTTTTTTTCTTGGTATCTTTTATCACAGTGTTAAAAGAAATGATATCCCCTCCAATCCTTTTCCTGTGACATTACGAAGTCCCCAGTCCGCAAAGCTACTGATGCATGCAAAATTTGTCATCAATGTTATTTCTATCTCAAATTTCAAAGTTAACAATTCTGTACTAAAACTACTTCACATGTGGTCTTGTGCTGTTATTCATGTCAAAGGTGTTAAACTGGACAGTATCAGTACCAACTGCAAAAGGACACGGAATAGGTAATCTGGAGGTGGGGGAGAAGTGTTGAAGGGACAAATTGACTAGATCCTGTAGGTTACAGAACTTCTTTTCCCAAATAAAGTTTTTCTTGCAAATGAAACACTAACAGCAAAAAAACCCTGCCATTTAGAATGGGCTGTAACAATACTTGAGTATTATGAGTTATTGGAGCACGTACCCTTCGATAGATACTTTGTGGCAGAACAGAAGCATCTGAATATGATTTTGTTGTTTTGTTCTGAACTCTTGCCAATTTAGCGTTGAACTGAAAGAAACAGGGAAGAGAAAATATTAGCAATACGGTAAGAGGGGAAAAAAAATGTATGTTAAACAATTCAAGCAGAAGTTTCTTTTTTTTCTTTTCTTTAATGGATGTTGTATCTGAAAGTTGTTGCACGATTACCTAGTGTTTAGTCATAGGACAATGAAATTTATCAGAAATGAAGATAGTTACAGATTATATTTCTTAATAATGTTTCAAAATATTAGAAAAAGAAAATAGAACAAATATTCTGATACCACTACATTACACATAAGTATTGCTGAAATAGTAGATAAAAAGAACACTATGAAAATGAAAAGTTGAAAGTACTTTGGCAGCACAGTCTCATGTATGCAGGAAGAGAAATGGAAAGGATGCTAAAAGCCTCTTAAGCCTCCCCTCACATATTACAGATATCTCAGCCCAAACACCCTGTTTCTGTTACGGAACAGCTTGTGTGTTACTGAGTATGGGAAAGATTTGAACTATTTCCTTCACTTTTCTGTAGTGAGGACTGAGCTGTGACATGTGTGTTGAATTCCATGTCTGAAAGCTCTCAGAAGTTTATAGAAAGGAAATACTAAAAAATGAAAATCTTCTAGCATTCAGAGACAATTATAAAATAATATAAATAGAAAACATTGTTTTAATTTCTTTGTAGGTCAAAAATTACCAACACTTTCAAAATAAATTAAAGGAAGACTACAAAGCTCAGCCTCCATATACAGTAGATAGAAGTGTAGATTTCTGAGCAGAAGCTACTTAAATCCCACAGTGAAAGAGAGAGCAATGCCACTGACCCTTCTAAAGATCAGTTTTTAACAGTCTTAGGCTCCACCATATTGTTATGCACTAATTACAGCATTTTTCACTAGTCTTCTAAGTTTCCTCAATGCCTAACTGAGCTTTAATTCAGCAGAAAACATACCTCTATCTGCAGTTTAATTATTTCATTCTGCTTCTCTTCATCTTGAGTTTTCAGCTGTCTAGCTAGCTCTAATATTTCCAGTTCCTTTTTCTCTATCTGTTCCTTATACTCCATCTCTTTTGCTTCAGCTAATATCACAGTAACACCAAATACATTGATTAAATTAATTACATAATATGATTAAAAGGAAAAACAAAATAAGACAAAAACAGAGCATTTCCCAGATAGCAGAGATTTCTTCAGCAACAGGTTGGAACCATTTCTGTCAAACACGAATATCTATCCATCTATCTGGAACCATAGTGAGATTGAGCTTCATTAAAGCAGCATCACGTTCTACAGAGACTTCATTTTGCTTTTGTACAGCTATGTGAATCACTAAAAAAATCCTACTTCTTAAACCTCTGACAGTGATGAAATGTAATCCATACTACAATCAAGTGTTTCCTTTTGCAGCGTTATTTATTCGCACCAAGTCCTGCTCTTCTCAGGTATGGCTGAAATACCATCCTAGGAGCCTACCTAAATAAATTTTCAGCAAGTTCAAAGCATTTCTTCAGTTAGTACTCAACCCAAAATTTAACTCCTTCAGATTTTTATGTATGAGCTCCCAGTTTCTGTTATACTTGATTTGGAACTTCTGCTCATCCAGTGTTGCTGCAATAATACCTCACTGCCATTGTCTATTTAGTTAAGATAAAACTCGTTTTGATAATAGCCACTTCTAGCTTTCATGTTTGTTCTGTCAGTACTACACCTGGGCTCTAAGTAAAAACTGTTTTCCAGTCGTGTTTCCCTGAAGAAGTGGAACTATTTTTTGCATTTATGCTAATGAAGTGCAGCTCTTACAGACTAGGACATGGTATCCAGCTGTATAACATTCAGGCTTCAGAAAACTTACTTTTTTTTCTCATGTTGCAGTTCAACTGTGCTATTTCTAATTTGTGGTCTTCCTCTTTGTTTTGAATTTCAATTGTGAGTTTCTCAATCTGCTCTTTATATTCCTGTGAACATATAAATTCTTCGTGAAAACCTTCAGGTGTCTGTGCTTAGAAAGCCTTCTGCAAAGCACATTGTTCATGTCAAAATATACGTAAGGATTCAGTTCTTCATAATTCTATAATTCTGTGGTTGTTTTAAGTTGCACCTGTTCAACACTAAAATGTCCAGCTACATCTTACAATGAAAATGAAACCCAATGAAAATCCCAACCCAATGAAAATCTACACATAAAAGATGCAGCAGATTTCATCTATGTGTTAAAATAAAATTATAAACTGCTTGTATTAGGAGAAGGGGCAAATGAAGAGGTAGTATGCTTTTCCTCAGTGCAATATTTGGTATGATTCTGCAGTTGGTTAAATAGCTACAGTCTTTCTTGTATAAATTTCTGGTTGTAGAATTGTGCAACAAGAAATTGTATGTAAAGTATCTCAGATTGCTAATATTGCTTATACCAAGAATTCCACAACTTTACGCTGGCAGCAGTGGAAACATCAGTGGTATTAAAGCTAGTGGCCCAGACACTCAAGTTAGTACTTTGAGCATACTTATTTTAAATTTACATCAATGAGAAATACTCCAGAATTATCAAGTAATTTGCTCTAACTGCCAGTGCAGAGGTGCTTACTCCCAAGATGTCATCAGAACCTTCTGTTGTAGATAGACACGAACTAGAGCAATGCTCAGATGCATTACAAAGGCAGTCTTGACTATTAAAAAATTATGTGTAAAAAGTAGATTTTAAAACTAAATATTGGTAAGAAATGAGCATATCTCAGGTTGAGCCAGAGTTCTCAGCACTGTGTAGTTTTGGCCTTTTAGTTCCTGTAAAACTCTCTCAGGCTGTCATTAGAACAACTTTTCTCTTTTTACACAGGATGAACTTTAGGAAAAGTGAAATACCAACGTGATTGGTAGCAAACTCAAGAGTAAAAAGGTATAAGAACTGCTTCAACAGATACGTGACTGTTATTTTTCCTCCTATTAAAGAATGATCATTCTGACAAACCTGTTCAGAAGCCCTTAATTTATCTTCCAAGACATGAATGTTTGCCTTCAGTCTGTCATTTTCATCTAAAAAACAACAGGAAAGAACACTACACTAAAAGGTAAATGTTGACACATGAAAGCATGAAAGAAAATTATTCACTTTTTTTTTTTTAGTTGTCTGGACTCTAGAGAGACCTGACATTTTCTGGATGTGATAATCTTAACTTACAGAGATACACAATGTCTGTACAACTTATTTGAAGAAGAAAATTCATTGTATAGTTGTAATATATATATGGTATTACTTACACTGAACTGCATTAAGCAATCTTTAGCAATTGTTTACCTCTGCATTCAAGAAAACCTAGATACAAAGTTGACGTGCTCAAAAAATGAAAGATTATTATCATATCAATAATACTTTCAAGTTAAGAGATGTAACTTTTTAAGTACTTGTTTCTCAAAACCAGAGCTTACTCAATTTGTATGAGCTCCTTTACAGCTTGTTTATAGTGGTAGCAAACATACAAATTGTAAAGCAGTGTCTCATAAGGAATTTAGGAAAGCAGATAGTGCTTTCTTGATTAGCAAAATTCATTCTGATTATTAAAAACAGCTATTTACTTCCAATTTTTAGAGTTTTATTAACTCTTATGCTAAGGTACCTGGAATGCAGAAAGGGTATATATAGTTAAATATAACTAGTCTGCACTATAAAAATATGTTGTTATATGTTATGTATAAAAATTAAGTACTTTTACTTTTTAATTAAAATAACAACAAGCAATTATCAAGAATTTATGGACAACAGCCAAATTTCAGCCTCCCTGAGATGAGGATTAAGACTCCAGTTTCACAAAGCACTTTAGCAAAGACTGTGAATAAATGCTTTAAGAAAATACAGTTCAGTGATTGAGTAATACTTTCCCACTTTTTCTTGTTTCCTTTGCTATGCTGAAATAGATTTTATATCTCACTACTAACTAAAAATCTCTCTAGGACCAGAATTCCGTAATGAGTGGATTCTAGGCAGAGTAACAGTAATAGACATTTACTGAGAACAGAGACCACCAAAATCTGTACAGGATTGATTTTAGATATACTTTGTTTCATTTCTGTCTGGATGCTAGTGAGCTTCTCTCTAAAAAACACAGTGAACAGAAAGAAAAAATTAAAAATCCTGTTCATACAATATTACTGCACAGTACACGTAAGGACATTTTTCTTTTACCTTTTATGTTACACTGGTTTTCAAGAGTTTGTGTAAGACCCTTTATCACATTCCGTAGAGCAGTACATTCTAGAAGTGAAAAATCCACTGTTTGAAAACATTTTCTTCACCACTTTAATATGGCAATTGAAAAAAAATAATGGGCTTCACATTTAAACAGTGTTTTCATAACATAATAAAAACGCCTAAAAATAATATACATTTCTGAGTAATAGAATTGCAAGCATAATTCTTCCTTATTGTCTTTCAAGAATGTTCAACTTGTTTTTTGGGGATAGTGGGAAAAATATAATGCTTTGCTTACTGTAAAGGTGATTGATAGTCTTTAAGAACTGGAAATCTCTTTCTCCCTGGGAGTTAACCTTATTTAGTTCATCACACAACTTCAGAAAAGGACATCTTTTGCAAGAAGATGTAGTAAGTCTTTACTGACCATATATATCTAAACTTCACTTGCACTGTATAAGTCCGCCTGAAGATTCACAGCCTTCTAACAGTAGATCAAGAATTCAGAAAAAGAAAAGAATCTACACACAGTTTTGTTCTTAGGTTGGGCTTTTTGGTAACAACTACCTAAATTACCTCATACTTGAGATTCTACTTAGTTAGCGATGTTATTATACCAAGTCTCTGGTTTTCTGGTGGATTTCAGCATAAATAATATCATGAAAGAGGAAAGCCTGCTGTTAGTAGCTAAGCAAACATTTGGTATATATAGGAATTACAGTTTATTTTGGAAAAATCAGTGAACACTTCATAGGAGAGGAGTTAAAAAATGATTGCAAGCCTTAGGTCATTGGATTCAAGTACGAGTTTCCAGAGTGGGGAGCAAGCACTGTGATAATCTCCATTAAACTCTGCAATCTGTAAAGGAAAGAAGAGAGGACTGAATAATTTTTCTTTACAATACTATCAGCAAATAAATATTTTAATAATGGAAGTATAGAAGCCAAAATATTTTTTTTTCCATACTAAATGAACGTTTTCTGCTGCAAGATTTTACTCCTAAAAACTTACTGAAAATATCTGTCCTTCCAGGTCCTAAATGTTTTATTACTTAATGTTTATTAAATGTCATTAAATGTTTTCTTAGTATTAGCTAGGTCAATATTATTTGGATGTCTTGCAGAATCTGGCTAAATACTAATTTCAAGGCTGCTAAATATGTAAGCTTTACACAGAGTAAGGGTTATAAATTGCCATAAAGTATTGCAAGACATGCAAACTGAAAGTAAACATACTTCAGAATAAGCTTATAGTAGCTGAATTGCACATCCAAGGGTAATAAAATGAACACGAAGAAAATATCTTACAGGCTGTGAAAAATGGTTCTTTCTTAAAATGTCAACTGACATTTGTTTTCATGCGTTTGCCCTCTTATTACACGAATGACCATTATTGCTAAAATACTCGTACTTCATTACAGGTACTTTTAAGCTGTTAATGGAGACATCTACTTTTTATCAAATATTTGTTTGACCTCCACTCTGAAAACCTGTCAATTTCAAATTCAGTCAAATGCTTGACTTCAGAAGATCCCAGTTTGTACGTGCTCCCTGGAGATCTTTCACTACTTGCTGCTAATTTTTCAGGACTTGGACAAATAGCCCCAAAACTGAAAAAAACTTCTGCCACTGTATCAGGAGCTAACTGCTGCTCTGTAATAACAGCTGATGTCAATCTCTTCACCCGTTAGATGTGGTGGTAGTGAGAGGTGCTTCAGTATCATGAAGAAAAAGCCTGAGACTGCAAAGGTAGATGTGGAAGAAATTGAGATGTAGATGGGAGGGGCAAAACACAGCAGAGCTAGGCACTACTTTCGAGGTAGATGACAGAACTGTGAGTCATGCAGCAGTCAACAATGAAGAGAAGTGCCAGACGCCAATTGAAAAGGAACAGAGGTGGTAAGACGACAATCACACTGTGCAACAAAGAAAGGTGGATGAACAGGAAACTCAAGACAAGCTAAAGGCAGGACATAAGAAAGCATGCTTTAAGAACACCAATTCAACCATTCAAGTTCAACCATTCAATTCAAACTTTCTTAATTCTATTGTATTTGAATTATGATGCTCATTATCATAGTTGGTCTTGAATACACGTGTAGGCATACAGCTTCTCCCCAGAACAAGAAGGTGAAGAGAACAAGGAATGGTATCATGATTTGGAAATAAAACACCTCCGCGATCTTGTTAGTTATAGAAAGTGAGAATTTTCTTTTGAATGAGATAAGATGCTTCTGATCAGCAGATTCTAATCCTAAAGTTGTCTGTGGCACTGTTATCCAGTTAAGTCAATATGGTCAGCAGCTTATCATGCCTGCAGGCCTCTTTCCAGGTCAGGAGGCAGCTTTAGTATGCCACTGGCTTTTTTCTGTGTCACAGGACATACTGCAAACAGTGTGCACATCCATGAGAGCGCAACTCTGCATGCATGTAGAAAGAAGACGTGCTCCTCATTTTACACATACCCACTCTGAGATTCAAGCTTCCAGGTATTGAAAATGTGTATCTACATATAAATGAAAATTATTTGTATAACTGTAAATAAGTGAAAAAAAAAAAAAAGAAACAGGTATGGTACACTGACAAATTAGACTTCCTATGTTTTAAGGTAAGCATCTAAATTTGGATGTTTTGGATACTGATACTTCATTGTAATCCACATCTGAAATAATTTCTGTCACATGTCTGAATGCAAAAACTGCAAAATTTGTAACACGAAAGACTTCAAAGATCCATACCATTTAAACATGCTTTGCAGTTCTTTTTATTTTGTTTACAAATGTGTCTCAAATAACTACCTTGATTAAACATAAACCTAAATCTTCTTAATGGCTGTGCAGATAACAGCTTACTATTATACTATTACTGCTTATTTTTAGCTTTTATCTTGATTACAGACTAAACTCAAATTTAACAAGCAGTACAATTTTATTATTTTTTTTTCTAGCCACCAAATAAGGATGCCATCATATTCTTGGCAGTAATGAAACTTTCTGCATCAAAACACCAGCAATTTTATGTAATTAAGGTTTGGTTTACTTCTTCACTAACAACATTTTTGCCAAAAATGTTTTTAATAAGACCAACACAGAATAGTTCTGTGTGTGCATACACATGCAGCTTGTTGCTATCCTACATATTTATATTCTATAATTTTATTTTTTGTATTTGAAGACCATATGGGCTACCTATAACAGAACATTTTGTTCTCATTAAAAACTTTTCACATTGCTTCTGCTCCTTGTAATTCTAACAGTTAAGCTACAAAACATTCAGACAGGGAATACTGGGGACACCAAAACTAAGGTTACTTCCTCTTAAACCTTTTCGTTCTGTTTTCATAGTACCACTTCATTTCTGAAATGGCTTTTAATACCTGCAACAGATAAAGTATGCTAAATAACACTGCTTTTTGTAAGATGAAAGTTTGTTGAAAACAGTAGATCCTGTAATTGAAGTCTACATAAACAAATTCTGAAGTCACGATGGTGAATTATGATTCCAATATTTGGTTTTCTACTCAAACTTTTTGAACTTTAACCTATTCCTCCTTCAAGTCTGCCTTTCACACAGCTGTGTGCCAGCCGTCATTCCCTTGTTCCATTCTTCTAAAAAAGCAGCAGGGGGAGCGCTAAGGGCATAGGAGCAGTGACTGTCAGCTCCTACACCGTGCAGTACATCATATCAACAGCATTTGTGGAATAATCCTGTGCAAAATTTGAAGCTTTAGGTCACTATGTCTATTTATACTGACAGGTTCTGTTAAAATTTTTCATTCCTTTGGAAAAGTAGGCTATATATTTTAGAAAGTCATGCACACGTTGTAAATACATCTATGCATTTGGGTAAACAGTTTGACAGCAGATAGTCTTACAATGAACCACAGGTATTTAGATGTAAACTGCTTTTTTTTGTCCAATCCCAAGAATATTTCCTTATCTTTATTATCTTAAAATATATATATATATTAGCATTTTTCTCATGTTAAAGTACAGTTTTGACCAGGAAAAAGTACTCAGCTCACAGTTTTGCTTGCCTACGTTAAGGAAGAGAAAGCACAGTTTTGGTAAATGGTCACAGTTTTGTGGATTGGCATTAGTGTGGCTCCTTCTCTGTAAAGAATACACCCTACACACAGAAAGACTGAACAGCCAATCAATATTATCCCACATCTAGTATTCACAATTCATTGCAGATCCTTCCATCCACACATATAACAGAAAATATTTGATTTTCTCTTTCTTCAACAAGTTCAAAACACTAGCCAACAAATACATAGTACTGGAGATGCCATATGGAATTGTATCATTCAATATACCAGTCTCATCTTAGTTACTTGGATGCAAAATCCAGGGCTGCAATATATTCTTGCTGCAAGAAATATTTGAAGAAAGTCAAGTAATTATTGGTCAAACAAAAACAAAACCACTCATTAGATCCACCTTCAGTTTTCAGTGGAAATAATGCAATTGCTTTCTTTCAAAAACTACACTAGATTTTATTCAAAACTGCAGTCTGCACCACAATTGTCCACTTAGTCAGTATAGAAAACATTTAGGAGCAGAAAACAAGAATACCAGACTTGTCCATCTCAAGTTGATCACAGTGATTTACACTAAACAAAAACTGTGGACCTGAATCTCACCTTCAGTAAAGAAAATATTAAAACAATACAAAGCTCATTTATTATCTTTCAGAACATGTATACAGTTGCCATGTTGCCCATCTTTTTCTGTTATGTTTGGTTAAAGAGTTTCACACTCCTCTCCCCACTGAATTTTACAAATTTTCTTCCTTCCTTTTCGTATCCCTCAGAAATCCCACTCTTCATTTATCTTGCACAGTTGCAAAAGACTTCTGGCAATCAAGCACGTCAATAAGCTCTCAGGTTCTCACTTACATTTTTTGGAATTTTCTTGGGGTGCTAAGTGCTATTCTCATTTCAGTTTCTCATAATAATATAGGGTTTTTCAGCCAGAATAAAATTCCACTTCCTCCACCCCCAGCAGCCAAAAGTCCTTCAGGGTAAGTGGAACAGCAGCCTTACCTTCCACACTGCCTTTGCTCTCTTCCCCATTGCTGAAAGCAGCATGTTTATTTGGAATCATATGTGAACCATTCACCAGCATGTGGTCTCTTATGTTTTTCCTTAGCTGTTCTGTGAATCGCCTTGTGGTCTGCTGCTAAGGCTCAGTTGTTTATCTATCCTATAAACTCACTTGCTCTTGTGTTAATTTTGCAACAAGGAGAACTTTAGAATCTTGTTCGACGTGAGAACCTGCACACATTAAGAATGCATCTTGACACTGTTCATTAAAAATTTGACGCTGCCGTTCAGATGCAGAAATTTCAGTTGCTTTTGGATCAGTTCTACTGATACCCTCGGGAAATGTGACTGAGCTGCATTTTGGGAAGTGGCCTGGGGCATGAGCCTAGAAGAAATCTCTTTTCCAAGCCGCAGTTGGCCCTATCATTATGTAAAAGCCATTCTCACATGTATAGTCTGTTCGGATAACTCTTGCCAGAACAAGAGTAGAAGAATCAATGATACGTTGTTCCCAAACGTCTTCTCCAGTTCCATGCAGGACTCCTCTATGTCCCCGTGAGAAGTGAAAAGTGTTTTTCAGTGACACTCTTCTTTGACTATCAAGCACTGATACAACGACCAAAACTACCTGACACAACACTTCCAGTGCTCTGAGTCTGAAAGTACTGTGTGTTATAACTTTAACTAGTAATTTTATTAAATTTACTAAGTCTGCCTTATCAATTTTAAAAGTAAAAGGCAAAATGCTTTGAAAATATTTTATAATTACTGTAATTTATAATTACCTAATAACCTATAATGTCCTTTAAAAGTATTTTTAACATTATAATTACTGCTGACGCTCAGCAAATAGTAACTCATGTTTACCTGAAAATTTCTCTGACAACATCCACTGCGGATTATGGCAATGCACTGAACAAAATGGTTTGAGAAAATACTGTTTGATTACCTCTAATGAATGTCATTCAAAAATGTTACTTACATAAACACTTTGAATTTTGTGGTCTGCTAGAATTCTATTGGAGTATTCTACTGGTACACATTTTAAGCTTAGGGAATGTAGCCACATTAATCAGCTTATTTTCTAAGTAGATTCTATGCCCTTGGTATCTCATATTTATCTCATTACCAAACAGACTTCACAGACACCTCTTGGAAATCTTACTATGTTTCAAGTTACCTCTTTTTACTTTGTCCTTTACTGCTGCTAACATGTTGGCAGTCTCTCTTAATCTCAGACCACAATTATCAGCTTCCAAAAATTTTGCCTCCTGTCCTTAATAATTTGTAAATTACTGCATCTTGAATATTACTGAGATTTTTTTTTTAAATTTTTTTATTTTTAATTTTTTCCTGCTGCTGCTGAACTTAATTTCATATTTCATGCTGATTACTCTGGCATTTTTACTTGGATTTCTGCAATCCACATTTTTTTTTCATCATGTATTTCAAAACAGCAGAGATTGTTCTTCCCAGTTTTGTCAGCATAACTATCTCCTCAAGTCATTTCACTCTTATCTCATTGAAGTGAGGCAATTCACATAACCCAAAGCTCACTTCTGACTTCCATCTGTTTTCAGTCTGTTCTGCTTATGGTGTCCCAGCTGCTCTGACTTACTGCATTGTCTCTTTCATATTCATTATCTTTTATCCCATGGGTTTTATGATAACAATAATTTCTTCTTTTTGTCAACATTTTTCTTTTTGTCTTTAAAATCTATTTCATATAAAAAACCTCCTCTTTGTTTTTATCAATAGTGAAGCATCTTGCTCTGTTTCTGAATCACTGTCCTTCATTGTCTTTTGTGCTCAATAGAGAAACAAATGTTTCTAATGCGTTAAGCCAGAGTTCCTCTCAGTTTGCTGTCCCGTATCATAATGCTCAGTAGAAGATACTTCAGGAAAGAGTAAAGATGCAGAAAAAGATACTGCCACAATGCAATCTCTCATCTTCAAAAACCACAAATAGGGGATACCTGAACGAGCACTACTGTCTTTGTATTTAAGACTTCAGAATTCCAGGGAGGTTGCTGTTATCTATAAGCTAGCCAATGTTATGCACTTCTACCAGAACAGCATGAAAGAAGACACTGAAAACTACAGACCTGTCAGTCTAACCTCAGTCCCTAAAAAAGCTATAGAGAAGATTATCGTGGGTGCCACTGAAAGAACAAAGAACAAAGCTATTTTCAGGCATAGTCAGTGTGTTCCAGAAGAGAAAGCTCTGTCTTAAAGATTTGATCTCTTTCTGTTATATCCACCTCCTTAGAGGATAGGCTGGTAGAAGGGTAGATTCCATTACATGCCATGAAATAAGCATCACTACATTTAACACAGTATCTAACATCCTTACTGCTTTATGTGACTAAAAACAATAGAAGTGTTTTTAGAGGTCTCTATAGAAGTCAATAGAAGTCTCAGAACTTCCTGACTACAAGCAAAGAGCATTCTTTTATGTTTTGTTTTGTTTTTTTTTTTCTTTTTTTCTTTTTTAGCAAAAAGCCAAGACCTTACCTTCTTTTACTGATTCCTCCCTTGATTGGCTTAATGTTAACAACCTATTCGATTTTTCCAGCTGAAGAGCTGATAGTTTGTTTGCTTCATTAATTTCTGAAATTTTCTAGGAGGTGGGTAAAAAAAAAAAACATTTTATATTAATAGCTTTTGATTTAAGTTTTATATCTTGTGTTTTATATTTATATAAAAGTAACATTTAACAGTATCGCAGTCACAAGCTTATATTATTTGACTTCCTGGAAATTCTATCATAGAAAAGATGAATTGTAGAATGTTCTGGGTTTGGAATGGATCTTTGAAGTTCCCCAGTCCAACTTCCCTGCTATGAGCAGGGACATCTTCTCCTGTTTCAAAACTCTGTGCAACCTTACTTGGCCGATGTGCCACTTCCAATAGCCGAGCATCCACAAATTCTTAGGACAACTAAGAATTCCTGCATCTTATGACTCCTATTCTGAAAAATTTCTTTCTTCTATCAGATTTAATTCTAACCTCTTCAAGTTTAAAATAGTTTAGAACTGTTCCCCTTGTCTTGTCACTACAGAGCCTGGTAAAAGGCCTCTCCATCTTTCTTATAAGCCTGTTTTATATATTGGAAGATTATAATGAGGCCTCCCCAGAACATTCTCTTCTTCTGACTGAACAAGTCCAGCTTTTTCAGCCAGTTTTCATAGGAGAGATGCTCCAGACCTATGACTATCTTCATGGCCTCCTCTGGACATGCTCCAACAGATCCACATCTTTCTTATGCTGAGATCACCAAGACTGCACAGAATACTGCAGTTAGGGCCTCATGAAGGCAGAGAAAAGGGGTACAATCACCTTTCCTGATGAAGCCCAGGATACAATTGGCTTTCTGGATTGCAAGTGCATACTGCTGGCTTACAATTAGCTTTTCACCCCTGAGTTCTTCTCAGCATGATTTCTCCCAGTCAGTTTCTCACCCAGTTTGGTCAAAATCAGAACCTTGCACTTGGCCTTGTTGACCTTCATGCAGTTTATGTGTCAGACTTGAAAGCCTATGCATTTGACAGATTACCCTGCAGAACTAGGAAGTAGCAATGATCTGTATCCTTCTGAATTCTACAGTGTATGGTTGAGGCTGATCCTCACAAAGTTCTTTTTATTGCTTTGTATAAGAAGCTGTGAATGCCATACTGGGAATCAACATGAGTAATCTTTATGAATAAAAATTGTTATTTTTTATATATATGTACATATGTTTCATGAGAAACACTATGTTTATTTTAGACACTGCTTCTCTATTACCTCTAGTGTGGATTTACTGAATGGGATCAACTACCAAAAAGGTAATTTCTTAACAAGGAATCCAGTACCAACTTTCCTCAGTGGATCAGTCTTTAAGAAATTATATAAAGAGTTCAGTGCATATATATGGGGGAAAAAAAAAAAAAAAAAGAACAAACAGACTTTCATTCTATACTAATAACAATTTCTAGAACAAGGAACAATTTCTGAAGCAAAAGTCCAGCAGAGCTTTGTAATACTGCTATTAACAGTAGAAGTGTCTGTTAGAAAGAGATATTCCAATCTTTTCTTGAGAAAAATTTTCTTCAGCACCATTAAAATTCTAGCACAGAAACAAATGCTTCTCAGACTTCACACATCTTGCATAGAAACTGTGACAGGTTGGAAGGCTGAGCAATCACCGGTCATATGAAATTCAACATGAACAAGTGCTAGGTTCTGCAGCTGGGACAGAGCATCCCTGGCTGTACGTACAGACCTGGGGTATCCAGAGGCAGCAGAGCAGTTCTGCCAAAAAGGCTCTGGACATTTTGTCTGATGGTGAATAGACTCTGAGTCAGCAGTGTGCCCTGGCTGCCCAAAGAGATCAGAGCACCCTGGGGTGCCTCAGGCCCTGCAGTGCCAGGTGGGTGAAGGAAGGACTGTCCTGCTCTGCTCTGAGCTGTGCAGCCTCACCTTGAGCACTGGGTACAGGTTGGGCACCACAGTTTGAGAAGGAAATAGAAATATTAGCATTCAAATGAGATCTATGAAGGTGGAGGAGATTCCAGAGGGTACAGTGTGTGAGGCACTGCTAAAGTCCCTTGGTGTGCTGGGCCCAGAACAGAGGAGTCAAGGGGAGGCCTAGTGGTGGCTGCAGCTCCTCTCTGGGATTGGAGGGCAGCGCTGAGCTCTGCTCTGTGTGACAGCCACAGGGCCCGAGGGAACGGCGTGGAGCTGTGCGGGTGAGGGTTGAGGCCTTAGGAAACGGTCTGCACCAGGGCAGAACATAGGATTTAAACATTTGGGTATTTCTGTATGAAGCCACATACATCTGTGTGTTATGAAGGAGCTAGACTTGTTGATACTGGTGGGACCCTTCCAACACAGGAAACTGCATGATTCCATGGTTCTCTTAAATCACTAGTATCACTATGAGATAAAGCCATTACAGAAAGCTTTGAAACAGCATTGGTATTACAAGGTGTATTAATCAGAATTAGCTGGCAATAATTGAAATGCTTCCCACAATATAAAAAAAATATTTATGGATAGCAATTTCAACTCTCTTTTAAGGCTTTTTTTCACTTACCTTTTCTATCTCTGAGAAGTTATCCAAAAGTTTATCAAGATTCACCACATTGATTTTCTTCATGGCTGTGATTCATTTATTTCTGGAACATTTCATCCAGTGACAATTGCATATATATGTAAAATAGATCTATTAATTTTCAGAAGATTTCTTATCCACAAATATAAGCAGAGCACTTCACACTTTTGAAAAAATTATAACTATTTTTGCCTATTAATCTGAACTTCAGCCAACCTAAACCCTAATATTTTTAAGAGATAAAATTAATGTCAGAAAGACCAAAGCCAATCTATCAAACTGTTAGATGATGTAATAAATTGTTGCAATTAAAAAAATAAATCTGAACACATTTCCATAGCCATATTGGCTTTCCTATCCTCACTTTTAAAAACAAGAAGTTGAATGGATTCGAAATGCTCGTTTTCCACTGTGCATCTTTTAGAGGAAAAGAGTGAATCTCTGTTAGGTTTAATTAACTTAAAACATATTTTATAAATAAAGGAGCTTTTAGAAGGTACATATTAATACAGAATATCCATCTTTTAACTGTCTACGTGCTCTAATACTTTATTCAGACTTAAAGCTACATACATATTTTCTTATAAACAATCCATACTAGTATCAGAGATGAGACACTGCTGAACATAAACCTCACCATGCTAGTAAAGATCAATATTTTGAAGCACACCCATATAATTTCAGATTAGTAGCACAATTCCTGTTTATACTGGGAGTTCTACTTACAGAATCTTCAACATGCAATTGCAAGATGGATCTGAAAGAAAAGATAGGAATGTTTATAAAAATATTTCAAGTGTCTTAGAACATCGGGCTTCATCAAATAATAATTCCAATGCAGATAAAGCATATATTCTGGACCAAATCATCAGTTCTGCATAGGAATGTATAAACTGTCTTTGTTACATGGAGTAAAGTAAAGATGAAATGAGGGAGCTGATCCGGAAGACAGAAAGTGTGTGCTACCCAGAATCTGAAGACATTTCGACATCCATGTACTTATAATGAAGTTATGCTGAAATATACATGTAAACGATCAACTGAGCAAGAACCAAACTGAATATTTCCAGGTCTTTATGTATGTGCAACATCTTTAGAAAAGCAGTAAGATAGTAGAAATCGTTCTGTGTGTTTAATAGAGTTTTCTCGTGTCCCCTGTTTCCTCTAATTAGCATTAGAGGGACTAATGTGAATTCACTACATAACACTAAAAACTATTCTTTAAAAAACAGTCATTTTTAAGAATCAATACTTCTAAGATACTGGTAATTTTCTTCAAAGCTGGTAATCTTAATGGCCTGTAATTTTTATTACAATGTAATGAATTATTCAAATTGAGTTTCGAATAATTTTTTAGGACATTCAATTTTGACAAACAATTACATGTTTTATTTGATAATCGACATGTACAATGTAAATGCTAAGCTGTAATCTTTCCAGTCCTTATCGTGGGCACTGTTTTACCCATTTCTCTATCACTGTTCCATGCCGTGCTTATGAAATTGTTTCAACATCTGAATATTGACTGAGGATGGAAGCTCAGGGAGCTGCCATGCTGCATGCTGTTTTATTTGTGTTTTCATATTCCATGGCATCATTTGTTTATGTAGAAGACAGGACGTGCTAAGCATTTGGCAGCATTAGCAATGATGCCACTGGGAATATAACTCCTGCTGAACAGAAAGAATACATTAAAAGTAATATGCTGTATTTTTAATGTTGTATTTTTCCAGCAGGAAAACTCATCACTTTTGGTGTAATTATTTTTACATGTTATGTTCTCCAAAGGCATTTTTCTTAAGCCTCCCACTTCTATTTTGAACTACATTTATTTGGAGGTAGGCTAAAGATTTAATGCGTGTTTTCAACTGCCACAAAACTGACGCCATTATTTACTCTCCACCTCCTCATCTCTTACAATCATTTTCTAAGTATTGCTTACGATGACCTCATTTTGGAATTTAAGGTTTCTTTTTTGTTTCATTTAACACTGAAAACTATATATAACCAAAAATGCTCAAGAGGCTCTCCTGATTTTTCAGCAGCACATTTGAACTGAATAAAGCGATTACTCTGTAGCAGGCACTCCAAATCCTCTCACTGTTTTGCTGAGCTCCACCCATCTTGAGGACCAGCGCCAGCACTGGTGCTGACCTTGCTTCATTGCTCACTCTTGGAAGACCCTCTGCCATTTAAAACACTTGATTTTGCAGAAGTCTCACCACAACGTAAGAAGACAGCGGAACCAACTGCTGCAGTCCCAGCCAACGGTGTCCACCAGCTTGCAGTGGCGTTTGCTTTTCTGACTTGTAGTTTGCTAATAGCCCCTGCCTGCGTCAAAATGAGATCCTCTCACAGGCTCCAGAGTGCAGCACGCTCAAGGCAAGGCCTTTTGCTTGGCAGAAGCACAGAGCGAAGGCAGATGCTGCGGGTACCTGTGAGGGGCCGAGCCTCGCCCCACCCTGTGCACCCCTACCCCTCAGTGGGCTGAGGAGGAGCAGCACACACCCTCAAAGGCGGGAAAACCTCTCGGTGGTGGAACACCCTGCTGCTGACCTCGGGGTCCCTTCAGCCCCCTTTGATTGCGGGGTGCCGGGGGAAATGTTGTCAGGAGTGTGCTGCACATCCTCATGTTCCCTTGACATCAGCCTGAAGGCAGTGCCTTTGCTTGGCACCTCACAAAATGAACAAAACAGAACCTGAACACCTCAGAGGTGCACCTGTCAAGGACCTGACTTTATTCTCTGTGACGTTTGAATTATTTTTTCAAATGTCTCCTCACACTGGCATTAACATTAGCTGAACAGGAAGTTCATGTGTGAATATTCCTTTGAATAACGGCAAATTGACTTGTGATGAAGTCAGCGCACCATCTCTGTGAGTGACGGAGAGCAATTGGTTCCCATTATCTCCATTTCTAAGTATTGATGATGTGCCTATAACTCAGTCGACCAAGCAGTGATACTCTCTGTATCACTCCTTTTTCTGTGGGAAATTACCACAAAGAGCTTCTGAGAAAGCTGTCCAAGATACATGTATAAGTGTGGCAGCATGTAGTGAAGCCTGCAAAGTAGACAATTATAATGTCATTGAATAACATTTCCAGAAAATCAGAGGCAACCAAGCCCTTTTCCCAGGGGGAGCTGAACAACTCCTCCTCCAGCTCCTTCTTACCTCGTCAGGTAAAAATTACTTGTTTTCCACACTAATGCTAAATTGATGACCAGGACATGCCAGTGGTTTTTTAATCCTGCTTGTTAAGGCCATGTATGTATTCTGCTTGATATTCTGCCTTACCATGGAAACAAACTGTGGAGGCAGGAGGTTCATATCAGTAAATGTAACTCTTGTTATAATAGGGTAATTAGCTAGAGTCTGAAAGCTTCACAGCAAAACATTAACTATTTTGTCACTAAAATTATCATAACAAGGCTTCAGGGTTAGTAATGCTGAGTGAGAGAATATTTGCTAAGCTTCACATAATAATTTTGTTTGGAAGGGACTTCCAGATCTTACCGAGTTCAGACCTCTTCTCCAAGCAGGGCCAGCTTCAAAGCCAGACTGAGTTGCTCATAACTTGCCAAATTCAGTTCGGAATATCCTTAATCCATGATTATATCATGGCTTGAACTGGATATTTTTAAAACAAACTGTTTCATTTAGATAGAAACAACTCAGCCATATCTGCATGCCAGAATAAGTGGACTTGCTTTCAGAAATGCTAATTATGTCACAGCATGCTCAGATAGTGTGACTTAATTTGTGATAGAGAGGAAAGATGTTACATCTTCAGTGCTTGTTGATGCTGTCCTCAAAACTATTTCTGCCTGCGTCATAGATAGAAGTCATGGGGGCATGCAGGGCCCTTAGGTCTGACCATGTCCAGAGAAATAACATCTTACCAGTCATGTTAACAACAGCTGTCTGTAAGGAACAATGTGATCAGAATATCTGAGGACCGCTGTCCACTGGAATATAGACATAGTCAAAGTGATGAAAATGTTTTTTGTGCACAGAAGATCTGCAGCTCAGATAGGTGCAAGTGGAGAAACTACTGTGCTCTAGTAGTTGTGGATTACACTTGGGATTCCAGGTGTGTCATCATGGCAGGTATTGATGGGGAAAGTGGAATTCCTGTCATCTCCCAGTGAACTCAGAGCTACTTGTACTTTCCAATTCACCTCTGCTTCACATACCAATTTTCATGAAATTTATTATTCACTTTCTATTGTTCTTGCACAATCACAACTACCACAAAGATAAAGATAAAAAAAAAAAACAAAACAGTCCTGAGTAGTGAGATTTTAAAACACAGTAAACCACACAGTACTGTACAGTTTGTTTCTAATGTTAATTATTTAGAGGTTGTTTTACTTTATAGATTACATTCACAGGAAGACAGGCAATGAAGAATGAAATCCAAAAATTTAACTCTGTAGACGTCTCTTATATTTGCAATAAGGTGATGTTGAATATCCATTTGTAAATACATCACAGATCCTGTCTCCGCACAAGACTACACAAAGTCCAAACACCATGTCTGAGATATGACCAAGTGCTATGTCTGAGGTATGTCCAAATGCTTCTTGAACGGCTTGGTGCTGTGATCTCTGCCTCAGGCAGCCTGGTCCAGTGCCCACCACCCTCTAATGCAGAACCTTTTCCTAACACTCAGCTCGACCCTCCCCTCACACAGCTCTGTGCTTTCCGTCAAGTTCCATTATGACTGGTAAACAGGAAATCGAAAATTTCTAAAGTGTATACCATTCCGTATCTCTGTAGCTGCCTTGATTTAGGTGCCTCCAGGAGGACTCATAGGGGTCAGATGAAAAGATACAAACACACACTAGTGTTAGTGGTTCCACATGCTTGACTTAAAAATGTCTATAGTCTGCGCTAACTTTCTAACTGACTGCGACTGTGGATGGAAATCCAACTCACTGTATCATGCTGTCTGCAAATCTTAGTCTGGAATAGCCCATGTTTGTTTGCAGCATAATGTTTAATAAGATATTTAGCCATGTGGGATTGAAGGTAGACAACATGTTCCAGCATTTTCTGCA